TTTTTATTTTCTTTCTCTCCAATCAAACAGGAGGCTCTCTCTGACAGTTATGATTGCTTCAACAAATTCCGTTATTGGAGGTCATTAGTTTCAGTTTGCAGTTGTATTTGGTTTGATGGAATATATTTTTGTTTCTTTCTATTAAGATTTGTAATGAAGCTCTTAAGAATAGAAGTTTGCTGTGTTGATTTCCATTACCATCATAAGAATGGAGTTAACTCTCAAATTCACCACGCATTTTACTTACAATTGCTCTGGTAATATTTATGTAATTGGCACAGTTGTCATAAGAATGGCGTCATGAAGCTCTTAAAATTTTAGGTGCATTTTATCTTCAAGTGCAAACAATAGCAGCCAGAGATTTGTGTGCAGCAAAGGGAGTGGAAAGGGGTTTTTTTGGGATAAAAGTTCTAAACCAGCCAAAACACCCAGATTTGAGGTGTTTTATAAACCCCTAAAAAATACACTATATTGGTTTTAGAGAGTTTTTAAACTAGTCAAAATTAGTCTATTAAAAATCTGACAAGTAGGGGTTTTTAAACACCTAAAAATCAGTCTAATTAAAAACTTCCCAAAACCAGTGAAAAAAAACTCCCAAGCAGACCCTTAGGTATCTTATCATACCCTATTTTCATTGTATGGAGGATTCGCCTTTTATATTTTAAATAAAACTCAAAAACTCATACCAAAATATCACACATGACTCAAACTCAAGACCTTTTAAAAAATACATTCAAGAGTCTTTGGCTAATCAGACGAGTCAGCCATTGTGGTTTAATGTTAACTATTGTACAAAAGATTTTCTCCCCAAACTGTCGGTAAAATGAGGTAAGGTTACTGTGGTAGAGGAGATGAAACCAATGTGGTAGTAATAATTAGTACATGACATGTTGCATGTGTAAAGTTTAGTTGAAAGTCTTCTTCTTTAACTGATTACAACACTGTACCAGAAAAAAAAAATACAGTTATACTTATTCAAACACCAACTGATCTCTTTCTTTCTTTCTACTTTGTCTTTCATTACAATCTTTCTCTGATTCTCTCTATATATTCCTCCATCAAAACCCAAATCAAATTAAAATTCCCAAATACCCACCACAGAGATCTGGAAACCATGAGAGAACCGACGGTTGTCGGCTCCGAGTCCAACCCCACTTCGGCGGTGGCTTCACTTCCTCCCCCGGCCCCGCCTCAGGCATTGCTTGAACGTCTCAAAGATTACGGCCAGGAAGACGCTTTCGTCCTCTGGGACGAGCTCTCCCCGGACGAACGTGACTTCCTCGTCAAGGACATCGAAGTCAGTTGCTCCATTTTCCCATAATTTGTTTAATTAGTGTTGTTAGTTTTTTAATTTAATTTGATTTTGTTTACGTAGAGTTTGGATCTTTCGAGAATCGATCGGATCATTCGATGCTCGCTTCGATCTCAAGGTTAGATTTTTATTTTTATTTTTGATATCTGTTAGTGATAGGAAATGTCTTTTGATTGTAAAGGATGGAACTTTGATGATGGTTTGAGGTAACGTTACAGGGCTGCCGGTGGCGGCGATTGAGCCGGTGCCGGAGAGGAGCGTGTCGACGGTGGAGGAGAGAACCATGGAGGAAAGAGAGAGGTGGTGGAAGATGGGTTTGAAGGCTATTTATGAAGGAAAGCTAGCTGTTTTGCTTTTATCTGGTGGCCAGGTACTTTTTTTTTTTTTTTTTTATATTATTATTTGTTAATTGCTTTTGCTTTTATGGTGAGTAATATAATGCACTTCAAAAGGGAATTTATCGTTTATTGCTGCTGTTTGTAGCTCCATTATTTTGCTATGATGTTGCTTTTCTTGACATCTTTACTTGATAATGTAAAAGCATGGGGCATATAATCACTGTTTGCTTTAACAATCTGGTTAGACCTGGGGTGGGTGGTTTCACCAAGAATCTCTCTTATCTTTTAGGTTGGTATGATCTCGCGTCCCAACTCCTACTAATGTCAAATTGCTGATAGATGTTTTTTACCTAAAATTGAAAAGTAGGGGCCCTAATTTGTTCAATAAGTCATTATTATCTATAAAAAGGATGCTTTAGTTGATTCCTTTCTCCTTTTCCTTATAATGAAGGCGATTCATTAATAAAAAGCAAAATGGTTTCTGCTGAGCTGGTAAATTGTAACAGTGGAGGCGAATATTAATATAGAAACACTAGTACCACATTGATTGGAAGTATAAGAGAGAGAACTTATGGTCTACCTGCCTGTGTGTATGTCTTTCAATAGCATTCTATTCAGATTTTACTATTGAGGGTTACTGATTTTTGGACAAAATGTATAATATAAATTTATTTTTGAAGTAAAATAACTAAATTAAAAGAAAAAGAAGCCAAAAAGAGAACTCTCCATTATAGTTGGTTCAGAAATTTTTGAATAAAATACAGTCTTGGCATACAAAGTTACTCAGGATTTTGTGGTAAGCTGCCAGCCATGCGCTTTTTCATTATCAATCCCCAGTTTTAACCACTGCAAGCTTTTTACCTTGCAAGAGTATGGAGTTTAAATTGAGAAGGGGGTGTGGTGATTAGGTGTCCTAGCTTCTCATGGCACTAAACTCTGTAGATATTTTATATCTTTACCTTGGGGTAAAGTTCTTGTGATAACCGTTTGATTTTACCCACCCCTGCTTCTATTTCTCAATTCTCTTTCTGGGTTCTGGAAAATTTTTCTCCTGCTCATTTTTTTTATAGTCCTCTATCATGTGAAAACTATTGAAATTTTTTTGAGGTATTATATCATGGCGTACTAGGACTTGTGTACACTAATCAACCTTGATTGATTGTCGAGAAATCTTATATCAAATTTATTGTGGAAAATTATGTTGGCATTGATAATATTGTTTGTATTTGGCTATAGAAATCTTAAATATAATTATAAATTTACTTCAATAGTAACAAGACTAAGTTAGATATCTATTAACTGTTAAAATAATTAGAAGCACATTCAGATTACCATGAGGCTGGGTTGGGATTTTCACAAGTATATTTGTGCTCGTTAGTATACTAGCATAGTGAGAAGTGTTGTTGTAAGATTTTCATGTCTAATTAGTGTGTGGGGAGAATCTTGTTTTGTCTCCATAGGCATTTCAGGACAATTTTTGTTCTCTCTCCACAGGCATTTCGGGACAATTTTTTGTTCTCTCTCCACAGGCATTCATTGCTTCTGACCATTTCCTTTCATATATGTCCCATGAAGTTGTGGTTCTGACTAGTTCGATATCTGTTGCTCTGTTTTTAAGCATGTGCTTGACAGATTCTTGCATGTTTTCCTGTGACGGGAATTTGATACAGGGAACTCGACTTGGAAGTTCAGATCCGTAGAACTTATATAACTTTGATAATAGAAGATAAAAAATTTTCATGTCACGGATATACGTATAATCAACCAATCATAAAATATCATGTAAATGTAGTGTGACATGTACTCATTTTATGATCGGTTAATTGTATATTATACATTTGTTGTACAAAAGATTCTCCCTCGATATTATAGGTGAAACAAAGATAACATTATTGTATATTCATTGTGGGAAAGATTCTCCCAAGTATTGTAGAAAAAAACTTTAGGGTCTGCTTGGGGGTTTTAATGTTTTATAGTAAGCGATTATGAAAGTAAATCATCATAACGGTTTTGAAGGTAAACCACCGTAGTGGTTTTGAAGGGTTTTTAATAGCGGTTTTTAAAACACCCAACTTGTGCTTGGGAGTTTGTTTTCCAGCGGTTTTGACAGTTTTTTAAAATGATAAATTAACATATATGCCCATAAAAATACCAAAACTTCAACCAGTATTTGAGAGTTTTTTTTTTTTTTCAATTCCCAATACTTAGTATCAAAGTTCCTTCTAAGTTTAATTTATTTGTAAGTTCTTTCGTTGTACATTATTTAATTTATCACACAATCATGCGAAATCTGTCATTTTAAGAGAATAAATATGTTGCCACAATGTTGGACTTCACAAATTATCAATATAACAACTGCAACAACATTTCTAAAAAACAGTTTTTTGTTCTTTTCTTCAATCAATGAAGCAAAGCTGTCAAAAACAATATTTATTTAACAAACTGACAAGGATTCAATCAATCACTTAAACGCAAATAGAAAAAATCATATAGAGAAAAAACCACATAATTTTGTAAAACAACTGGTAAAGAAATGCAATTAAATTGTATACCGCTTGCAGAAGAGTTTACCATATTAAAAGAACAAAAAGTTGAAAGGGAAAATGAAGAAGAAAGAAAGAAAAACCTTCATATCTCTAATGAAGGATTAGAAATCCCAAGATAAAAGATTCAAAAGCATTGTAAAAGTCATCTAAAAGTTGAAGATTGAATGAGGTTTGAAGAAATTTTTAAACCAGCAAAGAGATTATTGTATATGAATAATAGTGGAAAGGGGTTTTTTTAGGATAAAATTTTTAAATCAGTCAAAACACCCCGATTTGAGGTGTTTTATAAACCTCTAAAAAATACATTACACTAGTTTTGGGGGGTTTTTAAACCAGTCAAAACCAGTCCATAAAAAATCTGGCAAGTAATGGTTTTTAAACACCTCAAAACTAGTCTAATTAAAAACCCTTCAAAACTAATAAAAAAAAAACTCCCAAACAGACCCTTAGGTATCTTACCATACCCTATTTTCATTGTATGGAGGATTCGGCTTTTATATTTTAAACAAAACTCAAAAACTCATACCGAAAAATCACACGTAACTCAAACTCATACCAAAAAATCACACGTAACTCAAACTCAAGACCTTTTAAAAAATACATTCAACAGTCTTTGGCTAATCACACGAGTCAGCCATTGTGGTTTAATGTTAACTATTGTATAAAAGATTTTCTCCCCAAACTGTCGGTAAAATGAGGTAAGGTTACTGTGGTTGAGGAGATGAAACCAATGTGGTAGTAATAATTAGTACATGACATGTTGCATGTGTAAAGTTTAGTTGAAAGTCTTCTTCTTTAACTGATTACAACACTGTACCAGGAAAAAAAAAATACAGTTATACTTATTCAAACACCAACTGATCTCTTTCTTTCTTTCTACTTTGTCTTTCATTACAATCTTTCTCTGATTCTCTCTATATATTCCTCCAACAAAACCCAAATCAAATCAAAATTCCCAAATACCCACCACAGAGATCTGGAAAGCATGAGAGAACCGACGGTTGTCGGCTCCGAGTCCAACCCCACTTCGGCGGTGGCTTCACTTCCTCCCCCGGCCCCGCCTCAGGCATTGCTTGAACGTCTCAAAGATTACGGCCAGGAAGACGCTTTCGTCCTCTGGGACGAGCTCTCCCCGGACGAACGTGACTTCCTCGTCAAGGACATCGAAGTCAGTTGCTCCATTTTCCCATAATTTGTTTAATTAGTGTTGTTAGTTTTTTAATTTAATTTGATTTTGTTTACGTAGAGTTTGGATCTTTCGAGAATCGATCGGATCATTCGATGCTCGCTTCGATCTCAAGGTTAGATTTTTATTTTTATTTTTGATATCTGTTAGTGATAGGAAATGTCTTTTGATTGTAAAGGATGGAACTTTGATGATGGTTTGAGGTAACGTTACAGGGCTGCCGGTGGCGGCGATTGAGCCGGTGCCGGAGAGGAGCGTGTCGACGGTGGAGGAGAGAACCATGGAGGAAAGAGAGAGGTGGTGGAAGATGGGTTTGAAGGCTATTTATGAAGGAAAGCTAGCTGTTTTGCTTTTATCTGGTGGCCAGGTACTTTTTTTTTTTTTTTTTTATATTATTATTTGTTAATTGCTTTTGCTTTTATGGTGAGTAATATAATGCACTTCAAAAGGGAATTTATCGTTTATTGCTGCTGTTTGTAGCTCCATTATTTTGCTATGATGTTGCTTTTCTTGACATCTTTACTTGATAATGTAAAAGCATGGGGCATATAATCACTGTTTGCTTTAACAATCTGGTTAGACCTGGGGTGGGTGGTTTCACCAAGAATCTCTCTTATCTTTTAGGTTGGTATGATCTCGCGTCCCAACTCCTACTAATGTCAAATTGCTGATAGATGTTTTTTACCTAAAATTGAAAAGTAGGGGCCCTAATTTGTTCAATAAGTCATTATTATCTATAAAAAGGATGCTTTAGTTGATTCCTTTCTCCTTTTCCTTATAATGAAGGCGATTCATTAATAAAAAGCAAAATGGTTTCTGCTGAGCTGGTAAATTGTAACAGTGGAGGCGAATATTAATATAGAAACACTAGTACCACATTGATTGGAAGTATAAGAGAGAGAACTTATGGTCTACCTGCCTGTGTGTATGTCTTTCAATAGCATTCTATTCAGATTTTACTATTGAGGGTTACTGATTTTTGGACAAAATGTATAATATAAATTTATTTTTGAAGTAAAATAACTAAATTAAAAGAAAAAGAAGCCAAAAAGAGAACTCTCCATTATAGTTGGTTCAGAAATTTTTGAATAAAATACAGTCTTGGCATACAAAGTTACTCAGGATTTTGTGGTAAGCTGCCAGCCATGCGCTTTTTCATTATCAATCCCCAGTTTTAACCACTGCAAGCTTTTTACCTTGCAAGAGTATGGAGTTTAAATTGAGAAGGGGGTGTGGTGATTAGGTGTCCTAGCTTCTCATGGCACTAAACTCTGTAGATATTTTATATCTTTACCTTGGGGTAAAGTTCTTGTGATAACCGTTTGATTTTACCCACCCCTGCTTCTATTTCTCAATTCTCTTTCTGGGTTCTGGAAAATTTTTCTCCTGCTCATTTTTTTTATAGTCCTCTATCATGTGAAAACTATTGAAATTTTTTTGAGGTATTATATCATGGCGTACTAGGACTTGTGTACACTAATCAACCTTGATTGATTGTCGAGAAATCTTATATCAAATTTATTGTGGAAAATTATGTTGGCATTAATAATATCGTTTGTATTTGGCTATAGAAATCTTAAATATATTTATAAATTTACTTCAATTGTAACAAGACTAAGTTAGATACCTACTAACTATCAAAATAATAAGAAGCACATTCAGATTACCATGAGGCTGGGTTGGGATTTTCACAAGTATATTTGTGCTCGTTAGTATACTAGCATAGTGAGAAGTGTTGTTGTAAGATTTTCATGTCTAATTAGTATGTGGGGAGACTCTTGTTTTGTTTCCATAGGCATTTCAGGACAATTTTTGTTCTCTCTCCACAGGCATTTCGGGACAATTTTTTGTTCTCTCTCCACAGGCATTCATTGCTTCTGACCATTTCCTTTCATATATGTCCCATGAAGTTGTGGTTCTGACTAGTTCGATATCTGTTGCTCTGTTTTTAAGCATGTGCTTGACAGATTCTTGCATGTTTTCCTGTGACGGGAATTTGATACAGGGAACTCGACTTGGAAGTTCAGATCCGAAGGGATGCTTCAGTGAGTAGTTTTTTCACCACTTGATCTTGAAAACTATTCTCCATTTCAAGTTTGTTCAAAGCTGTTTAAATGAAAAATAATTGGGGAACCTTGTGCGTGGAATTTGAGGTGGCTAATGGTCTTTTACTGCTTTCCTACTGTTAATGTTATTGAAACTACTTAGGAAATTTTAGTAAATTCATGAAAAGAAATCTTTTCCTTTATATATCTTGCTTATATCTCTTGTTTATATCTCTTATGCACTTTTATTCTAGATATTGGACTTCCATCTGGGAAGTCTCTTTTTCAACTCCAAGCTGAGCGAATTTTGTGTGTCCAAAGACTAGCTGCTCAAGCTGCAAGTGAGGGTAAAGTTTATTTTTCTAAGTTCTGTGTGTTTATACTTCATTTGACACAGTATTATAAATCTTAATTGTCTGCTGCTGTAGGTTCTGCTGGTTCAGCTACAATTCATTGGTACATAATGACCAGTCCATTTACTGATGATGCCACACGCAAATTTTTTGAAAGTCATAAGTACTTTGGTCTTGAATCAGATCAAGTAAGACGCCTCTAGTAATTCTTTTTATAGTCTCTGTCCTTCACCATTTTTTTTTTCTTTCTCTGAATGACACTTCTTTGATGTAGGTCACTTTCTTCCAGCAAGGCACCATACCTTGTGTTTCAAAGGATGGTAGATTTATTATGGAGACTCCATACAAAGTATGCTTTTCTTTTTGTAAACAACTTGATTTAGAGTCCTCAAAATCCTGAAACTGCTCCTTGGTTTTGTTATCTTCCGAGCCACACATAGCTAATGAGATGGAAATTGTGTCCTTATAAGTATAATACAACCTGCTCATTCCATAAAGAAAAGGCTTGCTAAAGGAATGCCAAGATGGTATTTAATTTGATAATCTTGGGAAATATTTGTTAAGATAGTGAAATATGGGAAAAACAAGAAGTGCTTCTAGTTTTATTAGGCATGCGAAGCAAGTGCTTCCTGTTAGTAGCTACCTTTATTGAGATTGGTTTCATCCTTCTGGCTTTTCCATTTTTACATTTTTCTGTCAACTACTGAGTTTCACACCCCTTCTGCAATATGGTGGTTATCTGAATTTAATTGTTTAAACCCAGGTTTCTAAGGCTCCGGATGGGAATGGAGGAGTATATTCAGGTATCTTTTGAATTATTAACTTGTTAGGTATAACAATTCTGCTGAAGAAAAATAAAATTCTAGATTTTTCTTAGTGTTTAGTTATTAATTCATTGGACCTTTTTGGTTGATCAGCTCTGAAATATTCAAAACTGTTAGAAGACATGGCCAGCAGAGGGATCAAATTTGTGGACTGCTATGGAGTTGACAATGCACTGGTTAGTTTTCTTGTTTGTTTCAACTGTCTTTATGTCGGTTGTGAATTTTGTTTATCTCCTTATGTAAAAATATAGTGATTAGGGTCTTGAAAGCAGGTCCGCGTGGCTGATCCAACTTTCCTGGGATATTTTATTGATAAAGGTGTAGCTTCTGCTGCAAAAGTTGTCCGAAAGGTAACTAGAATTTTGTATCTGACTTGAAACTTCAATTATGCTAGTTGACTCTGTCGTTAATTTGATTTGGAGTTTGAGAAGGCTGTTTGCTTTAGATCGTGAGTATATTGCTGTCATTATTGTGCTTACTCCTGCACAAAAACATTTATGACATAGATTAACTTGATGAAAAGAGAGCAAGTGTTTCATCTTATATAGAGCTGTCAATGAAGTTTTATCTGTTATATTTAAGAACTAAAAATCGAGCCAAAGTATATAGAGCTATGTGTGTTAATTCCTCTGCTTGTGGTTATAGGCATATCCACAAGAAAAGGTTGGTGTGTTTGTAAGGCGAGGCAAAGGTGGACCCCTTACTGTGGTCGAGTACAGTGAGTTAGATCAGTCACTGGCTTCTGCAATCAATCAAGAGACTGGACGTCTTCGTTTTTGTTGGAGTAATGTATAGTCTTTTGCCTTGTTCTTTGGCATAGTACTGCTTACTATTGACTATAAAATAATGCTCATTGTGGAATTAAATTCTGGAGATGAAAATTTTATATTGTTGGCTGAAAGCAGCATAATATATTGCTTGATTTTCGTTGGTAGTAAATGTTTTTGATTCTAGGTTTCATGCTTTTGTGAATTTTATCGAACTTTAATTATATTGTAAACTTTCATTGAACTGGTATACATATAATATGCGAGATAAATTATGTTTTGCATTCTATTAAAGTTTGTATTTCTGTTTGATTTACAATTTTTTCCTTTTCAGGTTTGCCTACACATGTTCACTTTGGATTTTCTGAACCAAGTGGCAAATGGCCTCGAAAAAGACAGCGTGTTAGTGATGTTATCTTTCTCATAGTTGGTGATCTATATTTTTAATCATTATATGTATGTTAATACACATACATTTTGAATGCAGTTACCATCTTGCCGAGAAAAAAATACCTTCCATCCATGGATACACAATGGGCTTCAAACTAGAACAGTTCATATTTGATGCTTTTCCTTATGCTCCTTCAACTGCGCTTTTTGAGGTGACTTTCCTCCCAGTTTTTCTTATTCCAGTCATCAAGCTCTTTTCTTATATCTGTGATTGATGTTACCATTGCACCAGAAAAATTATTTCTGCCAATTTTCAGGTATTACGTGAGGAGGAGTTTGCACCTGTCAAAAATGCCAACGGATCAAATTTTGACACCCCAGACAGTGCTCGGCTGCTTGTTCTCCGACTCCACGCTCGTTGGGTTGTTGCTGCCGGTGGCTTTTTAACACATTCAGTGCCCTTATATGCAACTGGTAATTTCTTGATTGGCATTGTGTGCATTTGCATGGCACATTTTATTGGAATAATTCAACGATTTAGGCTGTTGATCTTACATAGAAGACTTGTAGTTGTCATGCTACGATATAACTTTCTCCTTAAAACCGGCTTTGTAAAAGTGGATTTACTTTAAAAAAATATATTATTTTGGTTCCCCAGTCAACCATTCAGTAGCATAGCGGCTCGTAAATTCTGTATTTTTCTCATTTTTCGGCTTGTTTGCTCGTGAACCCAGGTGTGGAGGTCTCGCCACTCTGTTCGTATGCTGGAGAAAACCTAGAAGCTATATGCCGTGGAAGAACATTTCATGCACCTTGTGAAATTTCTTTCTAGTTGAGTTTTATCTTTATATTTTTTATTTCCACGGCGCCCTTGTAGTCAAACTGAGCTGGGAAAGGTCCATCTTTCCCATGCCTTCATCTAGATGGATTGGAGCGGGTCACTGGGGTGTATATGTTCGAGAATCAATACACGGTTTCTTAATATACTGGGGTGGATGAGATTGGTGTAGTTTTATTAGCATTCGAGTTATTGTCGTGTAATCTTGCCCCGTGATTTTCAAATCATATGCGTATTATATGCCCATACACGCATGCACACACACGGACACAGATGTTAAAATTTTCAAGTGATTTGGTTGATCAAGTTATTGTTATACTTTTTCTATGTTTCGGACGTTAAAGTTTTCGCTAGAGAATAACTCGATGAAATTATATATCAGGTCAGGTTTCTCAATAGATGAGTACATTGTCTAGACCAGGGTGAAATTGGAGAATCAAATGAGCTTTGGAATATTTCATGATGCTTAGTTTGCTCTTATGGAGCTAAAACTAAATATTGATGCTGCAAAAGAAAATTAAACCAGTCGATCGATTGATCTCGATGGTAGGCTTTTCTATTCTTGGNATTGCTGTCATTATTGTGCTTACTCCTGCACAAAAACATTTATGACATAGATTAACTTGATGAAAAGAAAGCAAGTGTTTCATCTTATATAGAGCTGTCAATGAAGTTTTATCTGTTATATTTAAGAACTAAAAATCGAGCCAAAGTAAATAGAGCTATTTATGTTAATTCCTCTGCTTGTGGTTATAGGCATATCCACAAGAAAAGGTTGGTGTGTTTGTAAGGCGAGGCAAAGGTGGACCCCTCACTGTGGTCGAGTACAGTGAGTTAGATCAGTCACTGGCTTCTGCAATCAATCAAGAGACTGGACGTCTTCGTTTTTGTTGGAGTAATGTATAGTCTTTTGCCTTGTTCTTTGGCATAGTGCTGCTTACTATTGACCATAAAATAATTCTCATTGTGGAATTAAATTCTGGAGATGAAAATTTTATATTTTCGGCTGAAAGCAGCATAATATATTGCTTGATTTTCGTTGGTAGTAAATGTTTTTGATTCTAGGTTTCATGCTTTTGTGAATTTTATCGAACTTTAATTATATTGTAAACTTTCATTGAACTGGTATACATATAATATGCGAGATAAATTATGTTTTGCATTCTATTAAAGTTTGTATTTCTGTTTGATTTACAATTTTTTCCTTTTCAGGTTTGCCTACACATGTTCACTTTGGATTTTCTGAACCAAGTGGCAAATGGCCTCGAAAAAGACAGCGTGTTAGTGATGTTATCTTTCTCATAGTTGGTGATCTATATTTTTAATCATTATATGTATGTTAATACACATACATTTTGAATGCAGTTACCATCTTGCCGAGAAAAAAATACCTTCCATCCATGGATACACAATGGGCTTCAAACTAGAACAGTTCATATTTGATGCTTTTCCTTATGCTCCTTCAACTGCGCTTTTTGAGGTGACTTTCCTCCCAGTTTTTCTTATTCCAGTCATCAAGCTCTTTTCTTATATCTGTGATTGATGTTACCATTGCACCAGAAAAATTATTTCTGCCAATTTTCAGGTATTACGTGAGGAGGAGTTTGCACCTGTCAAAAATGCCAACGGATCAAATTTTGACACCCCAGACAGTGCTCGGCTGCTTGTTCTCCGACTCCACGCTCGTTGGGTTGTTGCTGCCGGTGGCTTTTTAACACATTCAGTGCCCTTATATGCAACTGGTAATTTCTTGATTGGCATTGTGTGCATTTGCATGGCACATTTTATTGGAATAATTCAACGATTTAGGCTGTTGATCTTACATAGAAGACTTGTAGTTGTCATGCTACGATATAACTTTCTCCTTAAAACCGGCTTTGTAAAAGTGGATTTACTTTAAAAAAATATATTATTTTGGTTCCCCAGTCAACCATTCAGTAGCATAGCGGCTCGTAAATTCTGTATTTTTCTCATTTTTCGGCTTGTTTGCTCGTGAACCCAGGTGTGGAGGTCTCGCCACTCTGTTCGTATGCTGGAGAAAACCTAGAAGCTATATGCCGTGGAAGAACATTTCATGCACCTTGTGAAATTTCTTTCTAGTTGAGTTTTATCTTTATATTTTTTATTTCCACGGCGCCCTTGTAGTCAAACTGAGCTGGGAAAGGTCCATCTTTCCCATGCCTTCATCTAGATGGATTGGAGCGGGTCACTGGGGTGTATATGTTCGAGAATCAATACACGGTTTCTTAATATACTGGGGTGGATGAGATTGGTGTAGTTTTATTAGCATTCGAGTTATTGTCGTGTAATCTTGCCCCGTGATTTTCAAATCATATGCGTATTATATGCCCATACACGCATGCACACACACGGACACAGATGTTAAAATTTTCAAGTGATTTGGTTGATCAAGTTATTGTTATACTTTTTCTATGTTTCGGATGTTAAAGTTTTCGCTAAAGAATAACTCGATGAAATTATATATCAGGTCTGGTTTCTCAATAGATGAGTACATTGTCTATACTAGGGTGAAATTGGACAATCAAATGAGCTTTGGAATATTTCATGATGCTTAGTTTGCTCTTATGGAGCTAAAACTAAATATTGATGCTGCAAAAGAAAATTAAACCAGTCGATCGATTGATCTCGATGGTAGGCTTTTCTATTCTTGGTGTCAAGATACGATGGTCGGCTGGTAGTTAGGTGAATATTTATATTATTCATGAAATTTTAAGAAATTTTTTTTTATTTAATTAAATTTCATCGGTCGAGAAAAACCCTTATTAATAATTTAACCATGAATATTTTAGTAAGGAAAGTGATTTTTAACCCCGTCTAATTGATCTTCACCTTAAGTATACCTCTTTTATAATTGAAAAAAAGAAAAAAAAAAAAAATCAAACACCATTTAATATGAAAATAACCTTTTAATCTTAATTAGGTTTATTTTCCCCTATTTTAAATTTAATTAGTTTTTTTTTTTTAATATCATTTTTTCCCAAATAAAACGTGATTAGATTTTTACACATTTTTTCTCCTAATTTCTTAATTTCAACTTATTTTATCTTCTTTAGATTCAGATTCATCCCGTTATGTTTTTTGTAGTTTTAGTATTATATTTTCATCAAACAAACAAATATTTAAAATAAAACTCAATGATTATAAAATTTAGGATTAAGTTATGAAAACTTAGGGTTAGAGTTTTTGTAAGATTAAGAATTAAAAATTAAAACAAAAATATAAAATAGAACATGAGTATATTTAGAAATCATATTGTTATTTCTAGTAATTTAAAAATTAATGTTAAATTTGTCAAAGCAAAAAATAAATTTAAAAGTGGGGTACGAAGATCAATTAGGTGGGGGGCAAAAAACCCTCTCTTTTTAAAAACTAATGAAAAGTAAAATATAATGTTAATAATTTGAAATGCATTTTAGTATATTTATGAATAAAAAGATAAAATACCAAGTAAAAGGTAAAAAGTATAGGGTCTGTTTGTTTTATTATTTTGGATAGAATTTTGAGAATAATATTGAACAGTTTAATAGGGGAGTATTACGAGATAAAATTTAAAAATTTATAAAAAAACCCCTAGGTTTGCTAATTTAACTAAACACCCTAATATATAAAATTTTTGTAAAATAACAAAAACACCCCCACCCACCACAGTGCCAGATTCCTGCAACCACCACTGGAATCTGGTCGAAAAATAGCGTTACGACGCAAACCGGTCGGATCTGGCGGGTAGGGCGTCGATATGACATTTTTCGGCTAGATCCACACGGATTTGGCCGGAACATGCTAGATCTACAGCTAGATCTGACTGTCGACGGCGGCAAAAGTCCAGATCCACTGTGGATCTGACCGAAAAAGGCCAGATCGGTGAATTAACGGCCAGTTCCAGTCGTTAATTCACCGTTGTGACTTGTGAGTCGGTGGTAGCCGGAATTTGGCAAGCATGGGTGAGTGAGGATGTTTTTGTTAATTTTTAAACTTTTTTTCTGGGGGTATTTAATAAAATTAATAAACTCAAGGGGTCTAAAAGTAATTAAAAAAATATACTAATATTTCTCAAATAATGTAACAAACAATATTTCGAGAATAAGATTGTGAATATGAGTAGAAATAATGTACCAAACATAAATTTTGGGTCAACACAAATACCACAACATGAATAATAATAGATTTATGGACCGTGATAGGTGGATCGATTTCAAATCAAACACGATATAAAATTTTGAATGAAGCTTATTTTTATTTATCGGATCGACACAACATAACTCAATACGACCATTTGACATGTCTACCTCTCATCAAAATATCAAATATTAATATAAATTAGAACTTTTGACACATCATAAATACGACATAACATGAATAATAATATTAGGTTTATAAACCATGATAGATCAATTGATTTCGAATTAACATGAGATAAAGTATGAATAAACTCATAATCTCAGGTTCGATTTCTACCTATGGGTAGTCCAACAATAAGGACGAACCAAAAGGATTATGCACGACTTTAATACGCAATCCCAAGTTCAATCTTTTGCTGAGAGCCAAAATAGTATATTTGCTTATAATTTACTTAGAAGGCCATAACGGTGGGTTATTGTGAAATAGTTTCCTCCAAGGTTTATTCGAGATGTACATAAAATAATCCCAACACTTTTAAAAAAAAAAAAAAAAAAAAAGGGACGAGTAAACCTAATATTTATGAATTGAACTAGACCGGACCAGATCGACACAATTGACAACACAACACGACCCATTTGACATGTCTATTGTCTACTAGGATGATATAAGGTAGTAGTGGGTCCAGGTGACACGTTGGCATCGCCAGGCAACACAGAGCGAGTATCGTAAATGCAAAATTGCGAGTACATTATCCATTTCTCTTGCCCTAACTATCAAACCTCACTATCAGAAATTTCTCTACTCGCCCCCAAAATTAAAATTTCACTCTCATCATCATCATCGGACTTCAATTCATGTAAATTCTCTAACGTTCTCTCAGTTTTTAATTTCCCAATATGCTATTTTGTCTACTGTTGTCTGTTTCTTCTTCAGTCACTGAATTTTAACTGTTTTTTTAAAGCTATTTTCTGTGTTAACTTTTACTCCCATGACTGAAATTTTCAACCTTCTATTGTTATATGTTTTCTTTGTGCTTAGTTAGTCAACTTGTGAACTGGGTTTTTTGGCATTTTATATTTACTGTTTGTTTTCGCTCTGCAAATATGTACTTTGCTTTATAGTTTCTATGTGAAATTTTCAGTTTTAGTGCTGTTCTGTTTCTTGAAGCTACTTAAAGTGTTTGTTTTTACTCCTATGTCCGAAAATTTTAATCTTTTACTGTTAAATGTGTTATTTGTTGTTAGTTAATCAACTTGTGAACTGGGTTTTCTGGCATTTTAGGCACTTTGTAAGTTAGTACTCTGCAATGTAGTTTGGGTGAAATTCTCAGTTTTTTAACTTTTAGATATGTTCTTTCTTGTTAGTAATGGAATTTAATGAATTCGTTACTCGGCATTTTAACTAGTTGATTATTTCTCGATAACTTTTGCGTGTTAATCTCAGTGATAATCTCTCTGTGAACGGCATATTTACTTGTTTGTTGGTTTTAGTGTGAAATAGTTGCTGTTGACTGTAATATGTATTCAGGGAATGCTGCTGTACCATGACCTGTGTTGACAGATTTTAGTAACTAAGAATATCATACTGCTGGCAATTATATATTTATAACATTCAACTATAATCTAGTAATGAGATATGAATTATAGAACACAATGCTATTTAGTAATGTATCGTTCATGAACGTAAGCATTATCATTTTTCTGCGGTGACTAGCTGGTAACATTATTTGGTCAGGATCAGAGTGCTTCCTATGTAATACTGTTTTGTTAGTTATTCAATTTTGTGAAGTGTATCCTGGCGCTTTGGAAACATTTTTTCAACTGGTGAAAATTAGTACTACTCTTTTCACTGCACTTGGTACTTGATAAGTGGGATTTTATGTGAGATATTAACATAATCTGTTTTGTTTATTGTAAGTCAAGCATGAAATTACTTGAGTATGGATATGACTGGGTGTCCTGGCTGCTCAGTAATCTCTTTTTCAATGGCATGTTCACTCTCACGGAAGATTTGGCCTTAAAACAATTTTATGGATAGTCTTGGATGGACTGCAAGTTTCTCATTAGTGAAGATATATCTTCTAGAAACATTGTGTAGTCAGACTCTTCTCTTGTCAATTTCTTTGGAAAACTTCAAAAATCAGTTTTCATTTGGTTTCGTTTACATGTAAAATTAGACTGCATAATAAATATTCTGGAATTCCTAGATGATTGTTGGTTACACTTTGATTGTCAAGTAGCGAGTCATGTTTTTGTGTTCACCTTTTCAGGTACATATGAAACAACTTCATTTTGAGCTTGTTCCATGGGTATAGATCTCGAACAACCATCAGGAGAATATTATAAGGAAGAGTCTAGGTCCCATGTGAATATTAATATGGTCAATGGTGATGATGAAGTGCATAATAGAGGTGGAGCCATTGTGAATTCTGGGAATAATAAAGAAAATAATGGGCCTAATGTTAAGGGAACATTGGTCGATGGTAGACAGAAGTTATATGCTGGAGATGGGATAAACTTGAATTCTGTAAAAAATGTAGAGCCTCATGAGGGAATGGAATTTGAATCAAAGGAAGAAGCATTTTCATTCTATAAAGAATACGCCAAGTCCGTGGGTTTTGCCACTATAATAAAAGCCAGCCGCCGATCAAGAATATCTGGAAAGTTTATTGATGCAAAATTTGTATGTACCAGGTATGGAAACAAGCGAGAACCAAGTACAGCTGAAAATACAGAAGCTGTTTTAGATACCGACAGCATGAAAAATGTTCCTGTTAAGAAAAAACGTGGTAGAATTAATCGATCTTGGTCCAAAACAGATTGCAAGGCTTGCATGCATGTGAAGAGGAGGCACGAAGATGGAAGATGGATTATTCGTAGTTTCATTAAGGAACACAACCATGAAATATTCCCTGACCAGGCATATTATTTTCGTGGTCATAGGAATTTAGATCTAGGTAATAGTAATGTTGATGCGTTGCATGCTATCCGGGATAGAACAAAACGAATGTTTGTTACAATGTCCAAAAAATCTGGTGGGTATTGGAAACATGAGAATCAAAAGGGCAGTGCCACAAATCAACCAGGAAGTGCTCAACATTTGACTTTAGATGAGGGAGATGCTCAAGTTATGCTCGATCATTTTCTGTACATGCAAGATGAGAATCCTAACTTCTTTTATGCCATAGATCTGAATGAAGAGCAGCGTCTGAGAAATGTTTTCTGGGTTGATGCTAAAGGTAGGGTTGATTGTAGTAGTTTTGGTGATGTAGTCTTTTTCGACACCTCATATATCAAGAACGAATATAAATTGCCATTTGCTCCATTTATTGGTGTGAACCATCACTGTCAGTTTCTTCTTCTGGGGTGTGCATTAGTTGCCGATGAGACTAAGTCAACTTATGTTTGGCTTATGCGGGCATGGCTTAGAGCAATGGGTGGACATGCTCCAAGTGTGATACTAACTGACCAAGACCAAGCCCTGAAAGAAGCTATTTCGGAAGTCTTTCCTAATTCTCGTCATTGCTTTTGTTTATGGCATATATTCAGCAAGATTCCTGAAAAGCTCAGTTATGTGATGAGGCAGCATGAAAATTTTATGACCAAATTTAACAAATGCATCTTTAAATCATATACAAATTATCAGTTTGAAAAGAGATGGTGGAAAATTGTTGATAGGTTCAATTTAAGAAATGATTTGTGGTTTCAGTCGTTGTATGAAGATCGTGACCGGTGGATACCGACATTCATGAGAGACATCTTTTTGGCTGGGATGTCTACAACCCAAAGATCAGAAAGTATAAACTCTTTCTTTGACAAATACATGCAGAGGAAAACTACATTGAAAGAATTTATAGAACAATACAAAACAATATTGAGAGAGAAGTGCGAAGAGGAAGCAAAAGCAGATTTTGAGACTCGGCATAAGCAACCTGGGTTAAAGTCTCCATCACCTTTCGGGAAACAAATGGCGACAATGTACACACATGCTATATTTAAGAAATTTCAGGTGGAGGTTTTGGGAGTAGTTGCTTGTCATCCAAGAAAAGAAAGTGAAGATGGAGCAACAAAAACTTTTAAGGTTCAAGATTTTGAAGAAAATGAAGATTTCATTGTCATGTGGAATGAGTCAACGTCAGATGTTTCTTGTTTGTGTCGCTCATTTGAGTTCAATGGTTTTCTTTGTAGACATGTGATGATTGTTCTGCAGATGTTTGGTGTGCACAGCATTCCATCACAATATATATTGACACGTTGGACAAAGGATGCCAAAAGTAGACAAACAAGGACAGAACTTTCAGATGTTGACAAGTCTAGGGTTCAACGTTATAATGATCTCTGTCGACTGGCCTTCAAGCTGGGCGATGAAGGGTCCTTATCGCAAGAGACTTACAACATTGTATTCAGTGCACTGGAAGAAGCTTTGAGAAAGTGTGAGAGTGTGAATAACTCAATCCAGAGTGTAATGGAATCAACCTCACAATCAATTCAAGGTCCTCAAGATTGCGAAGAAGTGAACCAAGGTGACAACACATTGAAGACAAATAAAAAGGATAGTATATCCAAGAAAAAGCAGGTTAGTTGAGTTCTTGCTGGTAATCATGCTTACATCCCTAGTCTTAAGTTGCATTCTCTAAAACGAGCATCTAATTTATATGGACTTTTGCATATGTACTAGGTACATCCAGAAACGGAGGTCATAACCATCGGGATACATGACAGTTGGCAACAAATGGTTTGTTCTGTGTCTCCTTTTATTTGCATGATTCTATATAGAAATCTAGGTTGTGATATTTCTTTATAAAGGAATATCTTAATGTGGGTCCGTACTTGTTGTAGGGACACTCAAATTTACGGGCACCTGCCCTTGACTGTTCTTATGAAATGCAAGAGAGAATACAAGGGATGGTATGGTGTAACTTAATAGTAACTCTAATATGTTGAATCGGAAAGTATGGTTATTTTAAAGATGAGTATTCTTGAAATTTAATTCCAATTGCTTATTAATGTTTAGGAACAATTAAACTCAAGAGCTCCGACCCTTGATGGCTATTTTGGAACTCAACAAATTGTGCAGGGAATGGTATGAGATAATATTTTAAGTCATTGCACTGGTAAATTGTGGACTTATTAGATTTTTAGATACGTTAATAATATTTTCTATCATTGCCATTTAATATATCTTTAGGGACAAATTAACTCAATGACTGGGAGTCGTGATGACTTTTATGGCAATCAACACAATATGCAAGGGCTGGTAATGCATACTGTAATCTAACTAATGTCTGGCTAAATACCGTTTTTGTTCCATCTTTGTGTAAGACATCTAATCTCTGCTTTTGTTGTTGTAGGGACAATTGAATTCTATTGCACCGATCCATGATGCTCATTACATCACTCAACAAAGGATGCATGGAATGGTATTGATTCTGTTATGTGATTGCTTATGATATCTTTTTGGCTGATAAGAAAGCATATATTATATTTTCTGTTAATGTTACTGATGACATGCTTGCAGGGGCAGTTACATTTCAGATCACATACTATTCCAAATTGTTTTGATATTCAAGACAGTTTACAAGATATGGTACTCAAACCTCTCACGGGAAGATCTGGCTGTTTTTGTTTTTCCATTTTTTTTTTTTTTCACTTATTCCTAAGATTTGATTTTGACTCTTATTCCAGGACCAGTCCAACGTTGGACCCTCTCAGTTACATGGCATGCCATCAAAACATTTGCACTCGAAACATCTCAACCGTTAGTTGTTGTAGTATAACTTATCATATAAAGGTGTTTATCCTTTCTGCTTCCATTATACTATAGTCGAAACATTGCTAACGACATGTCTGTGAAGCTTTTAGCTCTAAATTTCTGGGTTTTATATGTATCCTTGCTGCATGATTCTCATTCCTGCACTACATTATATGGTTTAAAAGTCTTTCATAACAATTTCAAAGCTCATCTCTTATTCTCGTTCTACTTTCTTCATTATAATCTGAAATCAACAGAACGCTAATTCTAGAAAATATGGTTTCTTTCGCAGCTGGCGGTTAGATTTTTGCATTTGAACGATGAGCTTCGACTTCGTCGGTTTTCCCACAAGCTCCATCTGCATTTCTTGTACTGTCATATGGCACCAAAATGTAGCTTGAGATGGCAAAACATAGAAAGCATGGAAGATGCTTATAAGAGCTATTTTTGTAAATATTGTGCAGTTTGCAATGAATTAATTTTCTTTTCTCAGGTTGTATAGAGTTATTCAGAATCAATTTTTTTATTTTTTTAAATTAAGGTTTCAGTAATTAATTTCAAGTTTTTATTCTTGAATTTCAAATTTATTTTCTGTATGTGCTAAGATACATCATCAGAATGTACAATGATCTCATAACATTTTTTTTTTTTTTCGGCAACTGGAGTGTCCGGGCCAGTTTACGTGCATCTCAACTAATCTTCAAGGTCTATTGAATATCTTTTAACATTTATTTCATATACCCCTATGAGATTGACAAATATTAATGTTTTTGTCTTAGTATTTGGGATAATATTTTTGATATTTTTAGAGTTGGGTGGGAATAAGGAGGTAGGATTTAAAAATTAATAAAAACAATCCCTAGGTTTGGTAATTTACTAAACACCCCTGTAATAAAAATATTAAAAATTATAAAAACATTCCTGCCCACCCATTAAATATCGGCAGTCGACCACCACCGTCGGAGGGTGGCCGGAGTTGCTGTATCGGTACACGATCGGTTAGATTTGGTCGGTCGTGCTTCGAGATAACCTTTTTCAGTCAGATCCATCGTGGATCTGGTCGAAAAAGGCTAAATCTATGACCAGTTCTGGCCGTGTTTGGTCGTCAACGACGGCCATATCTTGGTCGTTGTTGAAGACCAGCTACAGTCAAAGATCTGGTCGTTAACAGCGAGATCTTTAGATATAGATCTGACATTTTCCGACCATATCGACGGTGGATCTGACCGGTAAATGATAGATTGGTGCACTACTAGTTAGATCCAATCGGTAGTGTGCCAGTATACCAGATTTTGGCCACCTTCTAGTGGTAGTGGCCAGAATTTAGCAAATGTGGGTGAGTGAGGGTGTTTTTGTTAATTTCTAAACTTTTTTTGGGGGTGTTTAGTTAAATTAATAAACTTAGGGGGTTTAAAACAGTTGAATAAAATATGATAGTATTTTTAGAATAAGGAAACAAACATGTATTTTGGAAATAGTATTTAAGTTTCGTTTGTTTGGGTATTTTTAAAATACTTTATTCCTATTATAAAAAATTATTTATGATTATTAGAAAGTATTAAATACTCTGGCTCCGTTTGGTACACACTTTAAAATACTATTCTGGGTTTTCTCAATAAAATTAAATCCAAAAATGCATTTTTTTAATATTCTCAAAATCTTTTTCTACTTTATTCTTCTCACAAAACATTAATAATTATCTTTTTTGTAAAGATAACCTAATTTTTTTTTTTCAAAATACTATTCTAAAAATCATCCAAAAACGAACCTAATGAATATTTTTCAAAGGTTTTTATATTTAGAAAAATGGGTTAAATTATGGTACACCATTTGAAGATAGGTTGATAATCACATACTTTTGAAACCCATATGAAGCCATTAAAATATTAGTGTAATTAAAGAAATCAATTTAACATGTTTATGATATTTTGTATTGTCTTAATGAACATACGTATATATGATAAAAGGATGGTAATAATAAACTTTTGAAATAATTTTCATTTTTTTTTAGTTTAATTTTAAAAGTGGAAGTAGAATATAAACATTTTTAAGATTTGATTTAAATTTGAAAGTTATGTTGAATATGAATATAAATATTTTTAAGATTTGGTTTAAATTGCTCGGTTCATAATAGGGTCTGGTGTATTTAATTACAAAAGTCGAAATTGTGGAAGAAAATTATAAGATTAGATTGTGTCACAATCTTTATTAATAATTCTTTAGTCAAAACATTGTGATATTAGAACATTCTTTTTAAAGTGAAAGTGTCCAACTCCACTCGGTTAACAGACATGTTTAGTTTGTCCGCCGCTTCTTCAGCCTCCACCGCCGCCGCGGCCGCCGCCGTTGTCAACACTGTCCAGCAGTCACTTTCAACCGTGCCCTCTGCTGTTCTCCGCAAACAAAGAACACCCGGTTCTTCTATCTTCTGGGTTCAAGTCCAGACTGCTGCTGCTTCTTCTTCTCTGCGCTCCAGGTTTTGTCCCGTCAAAGCCATGTCTCACCCTCAAACCCTCTCTGTTCCAACCGATGACTCTCACTCTTCTGCTCCCGGTACCACTTTTTCCGGTTTGCCTTTCAAAGTTTTGAACTATTACTTTTATGTTTCATATTTTGTGTGGTTTGAGTTGTGTTGATTGAAAGTTCCTATCTTTATTGGTTTTTAATATGGTTTTGTGTGTACTTTTTGTTGTTTTGTGTATGTGAATTGTTTTTTTGATTGAAAGTTATGATTTTTATTTGTTTATGACATGGTTTTGCTAATGGTTTGTTGTAGGGAAGAAGCAAGCTTTGTTATCTTTGTCAGATAAAAAGGATTTGGCTGTACTTGGAACTGGGTTACAAGAACTGGGGTAGATTCTTTTACCTTTTATTTATTTTTTTAAATTTTTTATTAATATAATGTTTTCAATTTTTATAATTTTGAGGGGCTTGTTTGTTTTCGAATGGATGAACATGGTCCTTTTGTAAAATAAGGAGTTGGATTTTAATTAAAGCTCATAGTAATTTACATACTTATTTCTTATCTTGTTCTTGGTGTATGCGGGGAGAAGGTGGATTAGATGCTTGAAATTTGTTAGAAGAATGAGTGCCTGAGATTTTAGTAATCTATTTCTTGATGTATGGAAAATTTTTGTTTTATTGGTTTCTTATGAAGCTTAGGCTTCTATTTTGATATGTAGATACACAATTGTTTCAACTGGTGGAACGGCTACTGCTTTAGAAAAGGCTGGGGTTTCTGTAACTAAAGTGGAACAGCTCACCTCGTTCCCGGAAATGGTAAAATTATCTTTGGAACACGAATTTACATTAATATTTTATTGTTATTGTTTCAATAATAAAATAATAATCACATATGAAATGATTGATTAAATATTGCTAAGTGTTAAGTTTTTCAAGTTTGACCAGTTAAATGGATGTCCATCTTCAACTTGTTCATTTAGGCTGGGAATTCCTTGTATCTATTTTTAGCTTTTCCTGTTGCGTTGCAATATTGATTAGTTTCGCATTGCAGCTTGATGGCCGTGTAAAAACTTTACACCCCAACGTTCATGGGGGTATTCTTGCTAGAAGGGACCAAAAGCATCATATGGAAGCTCTGAATGAACATGGAATCGGTGGGTAACAATCAAATGAATTTATAATGCCTGCATGATTGTTGGTTTTCCATTTTCTTAATTTCTTTTTTCCTTATGGAATTTTTAATGGACACTTGGGACATGGTTCCTATTTGCTGAAACAATCTATGTACAGGTACATTTGATATAGTCGTTGTGAACTTGTACCCTTTCTATGATAAAGTCACTTCTGCTGGAAGGATTGCTTTTGAGGATGGAATTGAGAACATTGATATTGGTGGCCCTACCATGATCAGAGCTGCTGCAAAGGTTTAATTCTACTTTTTAAATTTTTATATATAAGACTATACTAACAATGAATTTGCTTTTCTCTCTGAACTAAAAAATCTGTAGCTCAATTTATTCATATTTTTCAATCCCATTAAATATCATCTAAATTTATTATCTCATTCTTATCATTGCTAAACAAATGGTATTTTTCATGTCCAAAATTGAAAAACAATGATAACAGCAGCATTTTGTTGGTCTAAAGCCATTAAATGCAATGCAAAATGAAATATGTGTGCAGCTGATTTTAACATTCTGTTATCATCTTGGATTCTGTCTGATATATACCTATTGAACAGAATCACAAGGATGTTTTGGTTGTGGTTGATTCCGAAGACTATCCTGCACTCTTAGAATTTCTTAAAGGAAACCAGGATGATGAACAGTTTCGGAGAAAACTTGCTTGGAAGGCTTTTCAGCATGTTGCTTCTTACGATTCTGCAGTTTCAGAGTGGCTGTGGAAACAGACTTCAGAAGGTATTGGCTTGTTTCTTATATGTGTAACTAGTTATACACAACACTGTTACCGGTGGGGCAATCAGTAAACACTTGTAAGTTATCTAATTTCAATGACACAAAGTTGTCTTATGGATTTAACTAATCCCTCAAATGGACAAATGATTTTGGATGTGCTTCGGAAACACCCTTGACTAATAAACCAAAAAATGAAACCATTTGAAGAGTTTTCTTTGAAAGTAAATTGCAGTGAATTGTTTATTTGTGGTTTTCTAGTTCTCTCTGCCATGGCGAAGTTTGTTAATTGATTGATTTATTTTGGGTAGATAAATTCCCGCCCAACTTAACAGTGCCCCTTTCACTGAAAAGTTCTCTTCGTTATGGTGAAAATCCGCACCAGAAGGCTGCATTTTATGTCGACAAGAGTCTTTCGGAGTTTAATACTGGTGGTATTGCAACAGCTATTCAGCATCACGGGAAGGTTAGTATATATGAAAGCTATTTACCATTCCTCAAATGTGAGAATGTGTTACCTACATCAATAATTTGCACGTTAGCTCAAGCGTTTATTTTTCTGAAAAGTTTGTCTTATGCTTACTTTGTTGTTAGGGAAACTTATACTTCTCTGCTATTTTATTGACCGTGGAATTCATTGAATACAGAAAGAAAACTGTAAAAAGTAACCTATATTAGGCATTTACCTGTGCCTTACATTATTCTAGTCTGTTCATTTATCATATCTTAATGAAAACTTGGTTTTACAGTTGATAGGTACACCAAGCTTGATATTTTAGGAATATTAGCAACTGGAATTAACATAGAGTATGAACTTGAGTTATTGTTAGGAAATGTGATGTGAGTCAATGATATCATATGGTTCAGAAATGGAAGTGGGTACAATAGTGATAGTAACAGTTGATATGGATCTTATTTTTACTCATTTTGGTTCATAATGCAGCTATTTTAATGTAATTTGAGGATTTCACAGGATATGTTGATTGGCAAAATCCATTATAGTAGTTGTTTTTTGTTGGCCTCTGATATTATATGGTGGTTGAATTCAATCTCATGTGCTTTTTGGTTTTCTTCTTGGTGCAGGAAATGTCATATAATAACTATCTAGATGCTGATGCAGCTTGGAATTGTGTATCAGAATTTAAGAATCCTACATGTGTAGTTGTGAAGCATACAAATCCCTGTGGAGTAGCATCACGTGATGATATCCTTGAAGCATATAGGTTAGCTGTGAAAGCAGATCCAGTTAGCGCGTTCGGTGGTATTGTTGCCTTCAACATAGAAGTTGATGAGGTAATTCTGTACTTTTAGCTTTTAGTTCCAGTGTTAAATTGATTCATAGGAATTTCAGTTAAGCTATCGAATTGAATTGCCTCAAGTTGTACAGTGGTTTTGCTGTTGTATATCTAAAGACAGTGTGATAAAATCACATCATTTTCACTGAGAAGTTAGACCTTACCTGTACTTTAATGCTTGATGATTGGGTTCCTTGCTGGTGCTAGATGGTGCTGAACCTTTACTTCACAATTCTGAGCAAGTGCCTTTCTGTGTTTCTAGGCTCTTGCTAAGGAAATCCGAGAGTTTAGAAGTCCAACAGATGGAGAAACTCGGATGTTTTATGAGATTGTGGTTGCTCCCAAGTATACTAAGAAGGGTCTTGAGATTCTCTGTGGAAAATCAAAAACTCTTAGGATCCTTGAGGCAAACAAGAATGAGAAGGGAAAGCTTTCGCTGAGACAAGTTGGCGGTGGCTGGTTAGCTCAGGATTCAGATGACGTAACTCCCCAAGATATCCAATTCAACGTTGTTTCTGATAAAACTCCAACAGAAAATGAGCTTCATGATGCAGAATTTGCATGGCTGTGTGTCAAGCATGTCAAGAGCAATGCCATTGTAATAGTGAAGGTTGGTGCTTTTCTATTGATTGTTATTTAATTTTTCTGCTGTAAATGGGAATGTTTGGTGGACTCGAAAGAATCTGATCCTTTTATTTTCACAGAATAATTGTATGCTGGGTATGGGAAGCGGGCAGCCAAATCGTCTGGAGAGTTTAAGAATAGCAATGAGGAAGGCAGGAGATGAGGTTAAAGGAGCTGCTCTAGCTAGTGACGCGTTCTTCCCATTTGGTAACTACATCTTAATTTGACATGCTCTAGCTTTAAGCTTTATCTCAATAATTTCCCCAAGACAAAATGCACCTGTTAAATTATGAGTAATGCTAGCCTTACTTACTCCCCTTACTCACTTTTGTAAATATAAAGCATAGTACGGATACTATAAGTATAGTAAGAGTACTATATGTCATGTTAACAAAGGTGAGTAAGAGAAGTGAGTAGGGGGAGTGAGTAAGGCTAGCATTTTTCTAAATTATTCCTGAGCAAATTCTTATGAAATGGCTACCTCCTATCCTAAAGTGTATTTAAATGAGATCACATAAAGCTTTTATATCTCTGTATTAATTTGGATGCTAATTGTTCTATAAACAGCATGGAAAGATGCCGTGGAAGAGGCATGTGAGAGTGGAGTTGGCGTGATCGCAGAGCCTGGTGGTAGCATTAGAGATAAGGACGCCATAGACTGCTGTAACAAATATGGAGTTTCACTGCTCTTCACTAACGTGAGGCACTTCAGGCATTGAAGCTGACTGACCTTCCTTTTCCATTTTCGGATCAAACCCTGTGCTTTCAATCTCAGCACAATTTGAGAAAGTGCGTGGTTTTGTCATTAGATATTTAGGTTTTTGGCATGAAAAAAACCCTTCTGGATGTTGCATAAGCTGGCAACCATGTTGTGCCATAATAATTTATATTCAGGGAACCACAGATTTTGTGTTCATGTTGAGTTTGTGAACCTGATCTTCTCAGTTTTGTCTTGATAATTTTCCCAATCCTTTTTTTTATAAAAAGATGGGTAGAGATAACCTGCATTGCCATAATGTGAAAGTCAAGTTCTTTAAACCCTAAACCCTAATTCCAACCCAATATACATATTCTCACATAACAAATGACTAATATCAGAGGTGAAGCTTACAAAAGGAACAGTTGGCAAGCCAAGAATTTATGAGAATAATGTATGTTCTTATTATTTGCCATTTTATATTCTCTTGATATAACCATTATAACATAAATTAATCGAACCCTTTGTATAAATGAAAAATAGAATTTTATCATAAAACTTTTGGACTCTAATGGTAAAAGCTTGCAGAAATGCAGGTTTTTTTTCCTCCTAGCAAGAAATAGGACAATGCAATATGCTATTTGTTTTCAGAGAGAGTTATCCCAGCCAAAATTTTATTGGGGAAAAATAAAGAATTAAATTAATAAAAAAAAAAACTATAATTTTTTAAGAAAATTCATAACAAAGATCATAGTATCAAAGAAAGATTAAAACGTGTAGGCATAAGGCAACATAATCTGGCCTCAATCTAATTATTTTCTTTTTTTTTCTCCAATCATGTAAGCTACATCAAAAAGAAAGCAAAAGAAACAAAGGATGCCATGAATACTTTGGGAGTACTTAAAAGGATTTTCCTTCCCCTAAAATGTTGACACCACTTGTGGCCATTGCTGATCAAAATTACAGCCATATAAAGCTCAAAAATCAACACAATGAGATAGCATCCACTAGTAAAATCCTCACCCTAAACTTGGTGGTGATTCAAAAGTGTCTAATAAAACAGTAACTAGATTCAGGAAATTTCATTTTATTCCATAACAACATTTGCCCCAAGAGCTTTCATCTTCTCAATTATTTGCTCACCTTCTTCTTTCGACACACCTTTCTTCACTATCGCTGGTGTCTTCTCCACCAAATCCTTAGCTTCCTTGAGACCTAAATCTGTAAAACTCCTAACCTCCTTTATAATTTTAATCTTTGCAGAAGCTTCATATGATTCCAGTTTCAACTCAAAAACAGTCTTCTCAGGTTTCTTCTCCTCCTTGCTTGCTGCAGAAGTTGCCTTCATTGCCATTCCAGCCAAAGCAGCAGCACCGGGCTTCATAACCCCCACAACTGGTGGTTCCTTCATTCCCCGTTTCTTCATTATAATGGAACCCAGTTCCGTAATTTCAGCTAGTGTGAGTCCAGATATTTCATCTACAAGCCTCCAAACACGCTCGGTTGGAGGACTACGATGCTCTGTGGGATCAAAAGTAGCTGGATCATAATCAGCTGGGAGTCTCCTTTGATCGATCTCCACTTCCTCCTCCATTGCAGCTTGACAAAAGCTCCGAGACACCATCCCATTAAAGTTCAAAATGTTTAGAGCCACCATAGGATAAACATTGGGATTTCTGGAAAACCCATTTGGTAAATGACATCTTAGCCTTGCTATGAAGCTCATTTCGAGTTTTTTATTCAGCACAACTTCTTCAAATACTAGTGGCGTATTAACATATAAATACTCAATCTTAAACACTTTTAAGTTACAAGAGAATACTCATTGCCTGAAAATAAAAAAAGAAGATATAATACAAAAATAATTAGAAACATAGACCTCGGATGATAGTGATTTCAGATTCAAAATACATCCTGAATACAGTGCCTTTCGATTTTTCATTTATTTTTTCCCATTTTCATCACTTAGGCAGGTGAGAGAGCCAAACTAAATTGTTTTGAGTTTTATCAACAATATGATCTTAACTCCTAATCACACTTTATTAAGAGGCTTCAACAAAACACAACAGATTCAAAATATAAAACGATGCAATTCACAACCAAAGATTTATCCGTCTTTAGATTTCGTCTTCAGGGCACAAGAATTGAAGCAGCATAGAAGGAACTCAACTATCAAACACAAAAAATTAGGAAAAAAAAGAAAAAAGAAAAAAGAAGAAGCCCATGACTGATTGAGGTAGGCTAACAGAAACCAATCTCATATTTCTAAAGTAAATCGATTTTTTTAATGACAAAGAACAACATATTTAAGCTATGCAATGACAACCATTTCAGATTCAACAATGATGTAAATAAACACACATCAATGTGTAACTAATTTTACTAGTTTTTGGTTAAGAAAATATCTCTTCGAAGACTTAATGTTTTACCACAAACCAATCCAATGCTACAGAGTTATTTTCATATAGAGGTTTGTTTCTGGGCACAAAATTGAAGCAGCAAAGAAGGTGACTCAACCATCAAAACACAAAAAACCCTTAAAAATAAAAATAAAAATCCATGACTTATTTAAGTAAGCTAACAGAAACCAATCTCATAGTTTAAAATAAAGATTGATTTTTTAATCAGAAAAAAACAAGTTATTCAAACCAACAAAAGGAATCCCTTTCAGATTCAACCAGAATGATATAAAGACACACGGACCTCATTAACTATACTTTAACCCTATAGAATGCGCCCAATTCCGAGCATCAGATCAATTTCAATAAACACTTCGGAAAAAAAAACACTCACCTGTTTAAAGCTGCTTCCTAGCTTGAATGACTGCCAGCTCCGGCTGCTGCGGCCGAGTTCGCCGTGGCTGCTTTGAGATGGTGGTCGTGCAGATTGAGTTGTGGAGTGGGGAACCAAAATTAGAAGCAATTGGGCCTGCCTAGGTTTATTAGAGGTTTGGGTTAATATCTTTTAACGCCCTTATCTTTATTTAGAATACATATAACCCTTACTAGTTTATGGATTATCGTCATATCCTTTAGGGCATCTCCAATGCGGCACCATTTCCAAATTTTGCTCCAACTATACACCAAAATGGTATGAAATTTACACTAATATGGTGTGAAAGTGTCACCAGTTTAGTGTTTGTGGTTGAAGATGATCTTATAAGTATTGGAAGCCATCTTAAAGATTGAAAGTTATTGTTAATTTCACCTAAGGGAGGATAATTAACAATAAATGTTCCCTAAGGTTTCAACATATCAAAGTGCATAGAAAAAACATTAGTTTAGCACAAACACTCCACTCCGATAACTCGGGGGCTCCATTAAGGCTAGAGATGGTAATGGCCCAAGTATTTCCAAGTACCCGGCTCGACCTATCTTGAAAAGGTCGAGCTTTAACCAGTGTTAGCGGGTTTGGGCTTGGGCTTGGGACTGATTTTAGGGCCCGACCTTGGGTACTGGTCGGGCATGGGACAATCTTCAATCCTAGCCCGACCCGACAATTTTACTATTAATTTTACTAAATTATCCATAATATATATATATTCTAAATGGAAATTATATAAAAAGAAATGAGGGTGTATTGTTATTTATATATTTGGTGAGTATTAAAAAAAAAAAATTAATATTTAAAATTGTTTTTAAAATTAAAAATATAAAAAGAATGGAAATTTATTTTATTTCACAATAATTATTAAGATTACTATTTAAAAACTGTTTCTAAAATTAAAATTATAAAAATAGGTTAGGATTGGGTTTTTACTGTGATTACAAAAAACGCATCAGGTTGGGCTTGGACTTTACCTGTCAGGTCCGTAACGGGCCTAGGCCTTGTGCCATGGGGGTTGGGCCGGGCTCGAGCAAAGGGCCCCCTGTCCCGGCCCGAACCGGACCATTGCCATCTCTTAGGGCTGCTGCTACACTCTCTCTAACATAAAAAATTGTTAAGTTGCCCCCATTAAATATAATTAGCCACGTACACCTCGTACCGGCAATTTTTGGTGTCAAAGCTTAAATAGGAGAAGGGAAAAAATGATCTTTAATGCTAAAATACAGAATTATAAATAAATATTTCAAAATAATAAAATATATTTAAGACTTAATATTATTTTTAAGAAAATTTACTCCTTTTTCAAAATAAGTGTCTGGCAATCTCTTATCACCGGAACCACCATCAGTCAATCATCGGAGCCATGGTCTTTTTACTTTTTTTTTTGTTCTAAATACCAGAGTTGACTAAAGAAAACGTCAAAATACCCTTGATGATGCCTCCACCTTTTGCAATTGATCTATATGCCCAATTGCCGGCCCATAGATATTTTCAATATTTGCCATTAATATGTTTCTTTGAAAAACAAAAAAAGAAATGTATTTTTACAATAAAAAAGACGTTCTGCATGGAATTTTTCTAAATTGGTATTTTTCACCAATCACTTTCCGACTTGTAGTCTTGCAGCAAAATCAGATCATGCATAAAGAAAAGAAGCTTTTGATAACTAATACATGTTACGAGTGTGTGACAAATTATGGTTGTGCTTATAAATGTCATGTAAATTTATAAGCACGAACCTTTCATAGTTTTATGGTTGATACTCCCATATTAAATTTTGAGTGTGTGACAAAGTTATAGATGAGTTCTGCTCAAGGTGAGTTCCGCTATGATTTCAATGTGGTAATGATAAAAGCTTGAAAATACATATTTTGCTAGTAATTTAATTAGATTATCCGTGGAAAAATGTGTTTTTATTGTGAAATTTAAGTTAATTATTTCATAAATACTTTTTATGGGATCACGGGTGTATTTTGAATATTTTCATGTTCTAAACGATTTTTGAATAAAGAAGAATGATGTCGATGAAATTTGTGACTAGTAGGAACAAACGGTACAAGAATCGAAATTAAAATGAGAAAGTTATGATGCGTTGAAGACGAGACTTAGAACTTGGAAATCCTTTAAGATGAGCATACTTCAATGTTTTGATCATAACTTGAGTTGTAGAAATCGGAATTCAATGATTCTTGTGGTGTTGGAAAGATTATTCAGAGAGCTACAAAGTTTATGTTGATAACTTTGCCAAATTCTAAAGATTCCAGACTCGTGAGACATAAAGAACTATCGCTGCAGCGACCATTTCTATCGCTGTGCGATGGATTGCGGATCTGTTTGGGTTATTTTACTTTCCTAGTTCGAATCTGAATAGTTTAAGACATTTAATTCTTTTCTAATTAGCCTCCAAACCCTAGCACTATAAATAAGGGACTTTAATTAGTTTTTAGGGATATTAGAGAAGGAGAAAGAGCGACTACTATTTTCAAGATCAGAATTCTTGAAGTTTTCATTAGCCAATTTGAGAAGTTTTTCTATTTTCTTTCTTAAACTCATGTTATTGAATACAATAATTGTTTTTAGTATTGCAATTATGAACTAAATTTCTTTTCTAGGGTTAAAGATGTACCTCAATTTATGAATATGTGTTGATTTTATTGTTGTTAATTTTAATTGAGCATTAATTTAAGATTTTCACTTTTCAGTTACTATGTTGAGAGATTAGATAAATGGAACATACTATATAGTGGAGAAGCCATGAGATTGATTAGAGTGGTGTGGCTGTGGGGTCATTGACTATCCTCGCTACACTTTTTCGTAATCCTATGTTAGAATTATTACCTTTAATTGTGCCCCCTCCATTATTATAACCTTCTATTATGGGGATTAGTTTATCCATTCCATGAAATCTTCAAGAGAGAGTCCACTAACTTATTCCTATATTCACCGAAACCATCATGTTTTATTTTATATCAAGTTCTTTTAAAGTCAACCACCATGTTTGCAATAAAAGAAAAATGCAGAGTCGCTATCTTTTTGTCGTTTGCAGTTATCAATTCAAACAGCCAAATAAACCCTTCCCCTTCTAGGTCACAGAATGTACCCCCATAAACATAAACAGCTATAATTCATTGGTTTACAGAAACATAAACAAGTTAAATTTATAGTACAAATTGAAATATATGACGAAGAAAGTGCCCTACATCGCCAAATTTTCAAACCTACATAGCAGTAGAGAAACTGGCAGAAACCAACCAAATTTCATAAAATCACTTCATTTCATTATAGATGATGAAATATTACCATTTTAAATTATAGATCATAAATGCATGGACGATTCAGAGGAAGGGCAAAGAGATGAACAAGATTGGACTATAGTTTTAAACATCGTTTTCTTCACCGACTTCTTCTTTGGTGGAATTACACTTGCAATTTTCTTACTGTAAGGTAACATAAACATAAACATAAACAACCATAATTCATTGGTTTACAGAAACATAAAAAAGTATCCATAATTTTATTTATAATACAAATTGAAATAGATAACGAAGGAAGTGCCCCTCATTGTCAAATTTTCAAACATACATAGCAGTAGAGAAACTGGCAGAAACCAAGTAAAACAACGAACAACCACTGTAACTCTGTAAGAGAACCTGAAAAACCAAATTAAACCAAGTAAAACAACCAAATAAACATTAATACCAATTTAGAGTGAGATTTTTTTCCTCTCGGGCCAAAACTTCACAAAGGTTTTTGACAAGTGTACGTTTGGATACCGAGAAAATATAGGAAATGAAAAGCAAATTAGAATTTATTTCATTCCACAAAGATTCCGTATTAGACGTAAACAATGAAAGCCATAAAGATTAAAACAACAATTATAAAATTAAATCTAAGCGGTTTAATTTCTCTCCGCCGCAATCTCCGCTGTGGATCATCTCTTTCACTCAGATCACTGTTGCTAATTAAAAAAAAAAAATAACAACTCAGAAAAATTGAAAACTAACCATGATGAAATTCATCCTTGATTCTTAGTCACAGTTGGCTTTGGAATTGACGACGGCGAAGTTAGTGGCTTAACAAAGATCTCTCTGGGTTCGGGCGTCTTCTGTGAAGTTTTAGTCCTTGCTTCACTATCAGAGTCCTTCACGGCGGTGCAACTTGAAACCGGTACCATTGGATCACGAAAGCCCTCACCGACGTTAGACATTTTTTTTTTTCCTTTTTGGTAATTATCAAGCCCAACGAATGAAACTTTGAATCCATGTATCTATATAATCATGAAACACTTACTATTTGGACGTCACATAGGACTATAATTGTTGCAACTGTAAGCATATTATTAGTTTAGACTATAATTACTATAAGTGTCTTGCATGGTTTTGGTTTAAGCTATTTTGTATTATTAATAAGGGATACATTTAATGTTTTGTGGATGCTAAATGTTTTTTTATTATTAGATTAGATAAAGTGAAATTCTTCACATTCATGGTAAATGTTTTATGATTATACATTAACTTTCATTATTTCTATCTAATTGAATGTGGAGGGATACATAGCGTGAAAGGGCACAAAACGTGAAATGGTAGATATATAGATAATATTAATTATAATTAATATGCATGAATAAATGTAAACATTAATGTATTGATAAGGTATATTGTTGAATTTCATGAATTTGAAGAGATGCCTTGTATTATTTAAAGGATTCGTTACTTTGAATCATTAACAGTTTGTTACATAATTTATCTGAAGAAAGAAAGGTAGTCAAAGTTATTTGTAATTGTTTTCTTTTAGTTTGGTCAGTTTATTGTTAAACTTTTTATTTTGTTTTAATGTAGGTATATAAATTTAGTTGAATCATAATATATGTTGTCATCGTTGCGAATTACGTGCTATCGAAAGTAATGTATTTAGTTATCTATGCTTTTGTAATTGCAGTTTATTATTGCTATATATGTTTTGTTAAAAATGTAAAATTTTGAGGTGTTGTTGCGACTACTGTGTTGTTATATTACTTTCCAACCGCTTATCATGTTTGCTGTATAGTTTTTGTTAAAAGGTTATATAAGTTATTGTATGGTTTTCACTATT